AAAGTTAATTAAAAGAAACTTTTAATTTGTTTATACCTAGCCAAACATGTCTCTACTCTCCTGTGATACTGTAATAAATTGCCAGCCCATACTAACATATATATATATATATATTTTTTGACGACTCCTCCAAGATTTGCTGCTAACCCCTCAACCCTACCGCGGCCAATACGTGGAGTTTTGAGCTCCATCTCTGCAAATACAACGACAGAAAAATGCATATCTGCATACTTTTGAATTGAAATGGAGAGGGGATACAGGGCGGAAGATGACTACGATTACTTGTTCAAGGTGGTGCTGATCGGCGATTCGGGAGTCGGAAAATCCAATTTGCTATCGAGATTTGCTCGCAATGAGTTCAACTTGGAGTCCAAGTCAACAATCGGCGTGGAATTCGCTACACGGAGTATCCACGTCGAGGATAAGATCGTCAAGGCTCAGATTTGGGACACCGCCGGCCAAGAACGGTATCGTTTTAGTGTTATTGATTCTTTACATTACTCTGATTCTTTGATTATTGTCCTTTATTTATTTTTTTCAATTTTTGATCCTAGAGTTTGTAAATCGTTCTCAGAATTTAAAATTACTCTGGGATGTGCTTGATATGGTTTTGTAGTTCTGCAAATTGGACTTAATTCGAAGTTAAATATAACTGTAGGAAAATTTCGATTGGGTTCAAATTTTGCCAGATTGCTATAGTTTGACATTCTTATTAATCTCATGCTCCGATGACTGAAACCTCTAATAACAGCTGGAAACCAAATTGAGCCGTTCGTCCAATTAAAAATAAACAAAAATAAAAATTATATTCTTACTTGCTAGTTGTCTTCCATTGGTTCTTCGGGTATAAACAATGATTTGAGTAATATTTTCCTTCATCTATTTTAGAAAGGATTCTGGAAACTTCCATCAGTTATTGAACTTTGTGTTATTTCATTGCTTTAAACTTGTATATAGACCAGTAATTTATTATTACAACATTTATAAGGAAATGATAAGATTATCAGTATGTATTCCTGTTATTCAATGGGCGGAGCTCCTTCTGCGTTGCCTTCAATAACTAATAGTCTTAAGTGACATGTTACTGGTGTAAAATTGAAATTTATTCGGTTACGGAAATTTCACCTTCTCCTTTCTCCTTAATTGAGTTCATGGATTCATAATTTGGGATGATTTAAGTGCACATCCATATATAACTTTCTTATTTCTACATGTTTTGTTTGTCTCAAGATACCGGGCTATCACAAGTGCTTACTACCGAGGGGCTGTGGGAGCATTGCTTGTTTATGATGTTACACGGCATGTCACGTTCGAGAATGTCGAAAGATGGTTAAAAGAACTCCGAGATCATACGGACCAAAATATCGTTATCATGCTTGTTGGCAATAAGGCAGATTTACATCACCTACGTGCTGTATCCACCGAGGATGGCACAAGTTTTGCTGAGAGGGAGAAAACATATTTTATAGAGACGTCTGCACTCGAGTCTATGAACGTTGAGAATGCTTTCACAGAACT